TGCTCCCCATTACCGTAAGGAGTCTGACGTTATCAGGCGCTGATGGTTCTAAAGCTGGGCCTGTAGACCTAGGTTCTCTGTACTCACTGCAGCCACTGGTACCAGAACCCTGATAGAACCACTGATCTAAGTGAAGTCCTATTAAAATAATCTGGGCACTGAAATAGATTGTGCTCTAATCTCAGAATCATGCCGCAAAGAAAGTCAGACTGTTGATGTTAGCAGCAGCCATCTTTAACATTTGGTCCCATACCATCCTGTTGGACTGACTTTTTGCCTCTGATTTATGGGGCGCTCCAGTAAAAAAGTCTGAAGTTGGACATCAGAGGACAGTGAACCCAATGATGAACCTGTGCTGTATATTAAACTCACAGATGTCGGTCATTGAAGGTTTGGAAACTTTAAAAGCCTCTGAATCTGGACAGGAGCAGCTGTTTCTAAATCCAGATTAGGGATAAATTAAACCCAGGTCATCATATCTGCTCCCTCTGAAACCAACAGCATGAAATGTTTTCAGGTTCAAAGTATGACTTTCTCTCTTCTGCACTATGAGCTACGTTGTTCTGTCCAACCCGGAGACAGACTGACGAACCGTCCAGGGTCTCATTCAGAGAGGTGTGTTCCACCACTGGAACACAGGTTAGTGACCACATCTATCTGGTGAAGGATGATTATGAACTTGTGAGTCACTAACCTGGTCTTATAGTTTAGAGGGCGAGGTTGGTTCCAGCCTTTTGGCTAACAAAAACACGCGACAGATGCATCCCAGAGTGTCCCAGACACTGAAGCCCCACAGGTCAAAGAACAGGCCTGTGGGGCTTCAGGCAGAAGATCAGATCTGAGCAGAAGAAGGACGGATAACGCAGATGGTGAAGCCAAAGCCGGTGTCAAAGACATGCTCAGGAGTCAGGACCAGGAGATTAGAGATCTGAAGAGGCGCCAAAGGGAAATCCAGGAGGGTGTCAGGAAACAGTTCCAGGTGAGGTTCACATGCAAAATCCAGCAAGAGTCAGAGGACAGGTAAGGCAAACAGATCAGAACAAGAACAGGCAGGATCAGAGGTCCAAAGGCAGAACGGGTCAGGATCAGGCAATCACAAACAGCAATGCTAGACAACTCTCACCAAATGCTTGAATTATCTGGCACTAATGACTGCGAGCAAGCAGCTTAAATAGAAGCTGGAGCAGGTGAAACAAATGAGTGATAACTAGAAACACGGCGGAGCTAGGCAGGTAAATGGAATTAGTAATTAGACCAGTCATAAGCACCAAGATCATGACTGTTCTCATACGTAGTCTAGATGTAGAGAACAGTCTGGATGTAGAGAACAGTCTGGATGCAGAGAACAGTCTGGATGTAGAGAACAGTCTGGATGTAGAGAACAGTCTAGATGTAGAGAACAGTGTGGATGTAGAGACCAGTCTGGATGTAGAGACCAGTCTAGATGTAGAGAACAGTCTGGATGCAGAGACCAGTGTGGATGTAGAGACCAGTCTGGATGTAGAGACCAGTCTAGATGTAGAGAACAGTCTGGATGCAGAGACCAGTGTGGATGTAGAGACCAGTCTGGATGTAGAGACCAGTCTAGATGTAGAGAACAGTC